TGACAAAAACGTATGTATATACATATATATATATATATATACATACATATATATAAAATAAGTAGGATTGTATAAAGTATATATAGGCTATATATTTATTATATATACCTATTTTATATTATCAAGACATACGTGGAACCTACACACATTATATATATATATATATATATATATATATATACACTTCAATAAATCAATATATGAATTGTGTATCACTGTTAGAACCACGACACACACAACAGTTGTTTTATTGAAAAGACAACTCAAAACTAGAGCCAATATTTTTAAAGACGCGGCCTCAAGCAACACTGAAGACTCCGCAACTTCAATTAGCATATTCAAGAAGTATTGCCTAAATTATAAATACGAGATTTGTTTCGAACATCAATGATAAAATAAAAGATTATTTCGAATCAAGCGTGTTTATCCAGTTACTGCGTATGGAACATATTATTGAATGTTGGAATAGTTCAAAAATCTCCAGAGCAACCGTATGCACAGTGCTGATGAATCATATCAGTAATCAATAGAACAATAAAAAAAAAAAAGATTATAAACGCTCCACGTGCCATCATTAAAGACCTACTTATATAATCGTTACTCGCAAGAATGTTGATAAGTCGACGAAGTACACACGCATACATACAAACTATTGTATACATAAATAAATAAACAAAATATATATGTATATATATATATATATTATTAGTTGTATGAATAAAGAGGTCTGTTGAATCGAACCCGCAATCTGTCGCTATATTGGCGAGTCATACCACAGCGGCTTGTACGATATCAATAAGACCACTAGTCTCTCTCCTTTCATACAACTTGAGGGCTCACAGATAGTGGAGCAAACGTTAAAGCTACAGTGATATATTCTGTCTCTTATACACATCTAGATGTGTATAAGAGACAGCAACACATAAAATATATATATATATATATATATATAATATTGAAGGAAATTAGCCGTTAACACTGCTGAATAAAGGTACATATACAGTGTTTAATAAGGACATGATGGAACATCGTAGGCTACCTTGTAGCTTTATAACGAATAAAGTCCCATAAAAGTCATTGTGTAATAAAATGCCTCCGACGGGATTCGAACTTGCGACCTTTCGCTGACAAGGCGAGCGTCATAACCACGAAGGCTTCATGGTTGAACAGGTCCAAATAACCGTCGGGAACATTGTATTACACAATGGTGCGATTCAAGAGGGCGTTCGGCCAGATAAATTATCTGGAGAAACGGCTATAAATAAATACTGTCGTATATTGTATATGATATTGAAGGAAGTTAGCCGTTAACACTGATGAATAAATATAATATACATTATCAAAGGTACATATGCAGTGTTTAATAAGGACATGATGGAACATGGAACTGTATAATGTAACTTTGATAATGTATATTATATTATATATATAGGTCTATATATATATATATATTATATATATATATATATATATTTATATGGTACGGTTTTTAACCCTCTTCATTTAGATTCACCCTATGGATACTTCTGAGCTCCTCTATATATATA